CCCGGAATCCTGTTCTTGATGATGATAGTGACGATGAACTAGAGCTCGGCGTTGCTCCAGTTCTTCCCGACGACAACAAAAATGGTAGGAATTGGCGCAACCCCGACAATTTTAATCGCCGTCGGAATGATGATGAGTTTAAACTCAATGTGGATATCCCTACTTTTAGTGGAGATCTGGAAAGAAGGGTGACCATGGGTCCTCGTAAAGATTCACTCAGAACTCTCAAGGTAGACGGAACCACGTACAATCCTTCTGATGGCAGAATACATCTGGCCAACTGGTCCTATGGATGCCAATATTGAAACGATTGCAAAGATTGCTGCTATCTGCAATGATGCAGGAGTTGCACAATCGGGGAATCACTACGGAATGTCTACTAAGACAGCATTGAAGGTCCTAGTTGAGAAGATGGGACCTCCTCAAGGATTTCAGGACTTATCGTTGAGTACTAAAGATGTGTTACATTGTTGCCAGCTATGGAAGTCCGCAGAATGTCGGATTGCAACTCTTGAATTTGATCGTGATCGGAAGTCAATGGGTGTTATTGCAACGTCAAAATCAAATAGAAATATGTTATTGGTGAAGGGTGCTGTAGAGAATGTATTGGAGAGGAACTCCTATATGCAATTGTGTGATGGCACTATTGTGCGATTGGATCAAAGCTCTAGGGATCTTATTTTACAATCCCTTAATGAAATGTCAACAACTGCACTGCGCTGTCTTGGGTTTGCATACAAGGAGCCTTCTGAATTTGCAACTTATAATGGTGATGAAAATCATCCAGCCCATGACCTCTTTACTTAAACCATCTAATATTTTTGTTAGTTTGGTTAGATTAAGGGATCCTCCTCAAAAAGTTCACAAAGCAATTGAGGACTGCAGAGGAGTTGGTATTCGTGTTACAGTCATAACAGGAGATAACAAGAATACATCAGAAGCAATTTGTCGTGAAATTGGTGTATTTGGTCCTTATGAAGACAATAGTTTGAAAAGCCTAACAGGCAAGGAATTTATGGATCGTAGTCTTCATGATCAGAAAGCATTTGAATCAAAACGGCAGGCTTCTCTTCTCTAGGGTTGAACCAAGGCATAAGCAAGAGATAGTGAAATTGTTGAAAGAAGATGGGGAAGTGGTTGCGATGACTGGTGATGGGGTCAATGATGCCCCTGCTTTGAAATTGGTTGATATTGGAATTGCAATGAGTGTCCTTGGAACTGAGGTTGCAAAGGAAGCTATTGACATGGTGTTGGCAGATGATAAATTCAGTACAATAGTTGCTATAGTGGGTGAAGGCAGATCTATTTATAACAATATGGAGGCATTCATCAAGGACATGATCTCAAATATTGGCGAGGTTGCCTCTATATTTCTAACAACAGCTTTAGGTATTCCGGAAGGGTTGATCCCTGTCCATCTTTTGTGGGTCAATCTTGTCACTGATGGCCCTCCTGCAACAGCATTGGGATTCAATCCACCTGATAAAGACATAATGAAGAAACCACCTCGTAGAAGTAAGGATTCCTTGATCACTGCTTGGATTTTATTTCGCTACCTGGTCATTGGGTCCTATGTAGGGATAGCAACCGTGGGTGTGTTCATTATATGGTATACACATGGATCTTTCTTGGGTATTGACCTGAGCCAAGATGGCAACACTCTTGTCACCTATTCCCAACTCTCCAACTGGGGACAGTGTCCTTCCGGGGAAGGGTTTACAGTTACTCCTTTTACAGCAGGGTCTCAGGTGTTCTCATTTGATGCCAATCCCTGTGATTATTTCCAGGTTGGCAAAGTTAAGGTCATGACTCTCCCTCTCTATCCTGGTGGCTATTGAGATGTTCAACTCTCTCAATGCCTTGTCTGAGGATGGGAGTCTCTTGACAATGCCCCCTTGGGTTAACCCTTGGCTCTTGTTGGCCATGTCAGTCTCATTCGGCCTGCATTTCTTGATCCTTTATGTTCCTTTCCTTGCCCAAGTCTTTGGGATTGTGCCTCTTAGCCTCAACGAGTGGCTATTGGTATTGGCAGTAGCATTTCCTGTTRTCTTGATTGATGAGATTCTCAAATTTGTTGGGAAGCATAGCAAGCTATAGCCTCATAAATACGGCCATCCAAGGTCATTAAGAAGATCAACGACAATGCTTACATTGTGGACTTGCCAGATCACATGGGTATCCCATTCATGATTCGAGGCCGAGTTCTTACCAAGTGGGGGAGAATGATGGAGGGTCAGCTCACCAACCAACGACAGCTCACGATTAGAGAGGATCATGCATCGGACAGTACCCTCTAGCGAAAATCATGCAAAGGATAATAGTGACAACCCATGCATTGGATAAGCACTAGAAGATGGTGGCTATTGGACGGTGGATATCAAAGGCTGCCTAAAGAAGATTTCGAAGATGTCTATCCTAGTTGTTTTAGTTGTTTTAGTTGCTTTATAAGTTTAACTCTCCTAGTTATTCTACAAGTGTACCAGATGTACTATAAATAACCCTGTTCTGAGTTAATAGAGGACACACAAGAATTCGCCAACTTCTCTCTCTCTTCCAAAGGCTCACGCCTAGTTACAACCAGCTTCACGACGAAGCCTCGTGTTCACCCGGTGCTTGCATAGCCAGCCCGGTTTATTGCTTCCATGCTGCGTCACCAAATGCCACCAGATTCTATAGTGGCGCCGTCCTGCTGCTCATCCCCAACAAGGTTGATGACCTCAATAGCAGCTAGTGTTACTTACTCGTTGGTCACGACCTAAGGATGCTTGTTGGGGGCTATCTTCATCTTCTTCTTCATCACTTAGAACAGTCTCGAGGTTAGCACTCCAAACATGTCTCCTCACAAGTAAGATGAAATAAGTCGAGTTGCCAAGGTGAAAAACCAATGGGAAATATACCTAAGTCTAGCATGATGACCTACTCGGAGGACTCAACCCAGCTTGGATCAACTTTTCCTCGGCCAAAAACTTACTCACCTACAACCTCTTGTTGACCAAAATTTGTACCCTTCGCTGTAGATGCTCACTCAATGTGTTCTCACTAGCATCCCTAATGCTCGTCCTTCACTTCAAGGTGAAGGGCCACCCGCCATTGTGATCTAGGATGAAATATTTCCTCTTCTAGTCCAACACATTGGAAGGGAAACCACCTAGTAAGTTGCATCTAGAACAGTAGGACAAATAGTAGTTGTACTTATCGATGGGATTCCTCTTTAACTGATAGAGGACGGCAAAATTTTGGATGGTCAAGGGAAAACTGACAGGGTGACAAAAAGATATGGTGTTGATTAGGGTTCTAATTGAGTTTGGATGAATCTGATCTAGGGAGATACTGCATTGGTTTAAGACCTCAGGAATGAAAAGGTGCAAAGGAAATCTAAGCTCGACCTTCAGAGCCTCCTTGAAAACATACACCTYGTCCTCATCTTGTCCCCAGGGGTATTGGCCTAAGGAAAGAGAGTAGCCAAACTGATCAGGGATCTTATATTGAGCTACGAGCTCGAGGACGTCATCAGCCGCCAACTCTGTTGGACCAAACTTTGGCTTGATCTTGGGAGGTTGTTAGGAGGTTGAGGTCCCTTTTTGCGAACCTCACCAGTCTTGAGCCAAGGACCCTTCCTCGACATGGATGACACAGTCCTCCTCCCCCATGGACTCACTACTCGACATAATTAAAAAGGAAAGGAAATTAGAAGGAAAAAAATAAGGGCTCATCGAAGAAAAGCTACTAACAGAATTTGCCAATCTCACCGATAACTACAACCATGCTGAGCTCTTTGGCTTCAAGGTGCTCTGACTCCACTCAAACACCAAGACAAGTGCAAATGAGACCCCAAAGCGTCCCTATTTATAGATGGGGAAGTCGAGCTATGGACGACTTATATTGATATGATCTAATGGCTTAGGGTGATTAAGACAATCTGTATTCTAAGGCAAAATGAGTTTAACTCGTTTTTGATGTCCACAGAACCAAATTTTCATACCAATGCCAGAGGTCAAGTTGAAACCACCTCAGATTCGACTACTCCCTTGTCAAGCTTGGCACATTGATCTCTAGAGTGGGGGCCAACTGATGAGGGGTAAYTTGGCAAATCAACCACGAAGAAACATATGGCGGGTCCAATCCGTTTGATGACACCTCGACACCACGTGGGCTAGGTCGGGTGATGCTAGAATGACCTAGACCGACCTGCTTGGCTTATATCTCGACTTGAGAGAGGCTAGTAGATCACAATGCGACAAGACAGTACATATCACCTTGGGAGGACAAGTTGATGACCTTGGAGGGCGACACGACCTCCCTGACCTAGGTAGACAATGGCTTGAGTAGTTAATATACTTCTTGGGTACCAACCCTTTGATTTGCGTGGCAGGTTGTCCTTATTTGGAGTGGCACACCTATCAGTTCCAAGTCAGGCGACAACACGTTGCCTACCTAGCATGCATGACCTCGATTCCCACACGATTTGGAGAGTCTATATGTGGATCACCGCCAACATGGGACAAACGTGCCCCAAAGATAGAAAACTGATAGGGCTATAATCGTTCTTAGATATCTCACACACGAAATACGAACTTCAATGCCTATAAAAGAACCTCCCCATTCATTCATAAGGTATGCGTGATTAGTGCAAACAATTCTTTGTTTTTTCTCTCGAGATGTATTCTTTCAACACTCTCATCGCTAACTTAAGCATCGGCATGGTCAACCCAGATTCATCACCCTAGGTACTCTGATCTTCTACCTTCTTGCAGTTCGGTGGACTGACCTCATCAGCCTCATTCATCAGAGCTATCATCCAGTAGGGAGTTTGGCGAATCCATGCAACATCACATCTATTTTAAAACCATATTTTTTTTATTTGATTTTTGAAATGGCAAACAAAAATCGCATTCTCATTTTCTTAATTAGCCCTCCCATTCTGTCACGTTCCTTAGAATTAGACTCTCCCATGTCCCCATTTCCATTTCAAATAGCACAAAGTACTATTCTTTTGAAACTTAGATATATGCCTCCTCATCAATATTGTACGAGGAAGACGCAACTTGGCCTATCTATAATGTTTAAGAAAATATCATATATATGAAAATAGAAATATTTAGCAGGTGGCCAAGTCTCAAAGGCCAAAGCTAAAACATTATATAGGCTACCAATAAAAGAACCAAAAGCAGGAGGATAGAAGTGGTAGTAATCTTAGCAGGCATCTTTCCACCGTCGGTCC